AGACGCGACGACGCGAAAACGCGATACCGCGACAACGCGACGCATCGTTGCTCGTACGGCACGATGACGGCAACGACGACGCACTAATGTGCGTTCAACGCACAAATGCGCGTGCCACATATGAGCCATTGTGCGACTCGTGGCAATGCTGTGTTGACACGCGACGCGAAAGACGCGAAAACCGTCCGCGGCACGATGACGGTACCGACGACTAATTAATTATTAATCTTATCAAATTATTCGATACTTGTCGCGATCGGAAAGGAATTTTATGGAGTCTCGCACTGCTACATTACTGCTCGAGTATCGCCGCGCGAATGATAACAAACACGTAAGAAAGGAATTTGATCGTTCCGCCCCACTACAGTTTTTTTCAAGTGTCTTCGTATAAATGATAACAAGCCCGTGAACAATGCTACATAAACAATGTTTACGCGCGTCAATGCACAAACACTATGTTAGGTATTGTCCTAATTCGCTGCCGAAATATTTTATGTATTATAAAATATGTATATGCGAAATATTAAATTATATCAGTATTTCAAATTATAGATCGATTATTTATTAAATGATTAATGTATCACGGAACTTATCGTTATATTAATTATTCAATTTTGCGATTCGATCGTTTTACAGCACATTCTTCATCCAAATTATATCTAGATCATCGAAAAGTCAAATAATATAACATCGTGGACAAAATATATTTGACTCTATTTTAAATTAATTTTAAATATTTTAACGGTAAATTTTTTCGCAATTCTGGTTTTTTATTTAGAGTTGTGGGTAGCATTTCACAAGATATAAAAGAAATTTTTAATATTCTTACGTTCCAATATTGCAAGAGATATCGCGATTTTTAATCATTTTTGTCTATTATTATTTATAAAAACTAAATGGCGCATTTTATAATATTTTATATATAACACACACACATATAATATTCTACTAATATGCCGTAAGCAGCTCTCATTGAGATCCACTTTTAAAAAAGTGATAAAAATACATACATATATGCAAATAAAATACTCGAGTAAAATCTAATACATAATTATATTACACTTTATTACAAATTTATATCTTTACAATACATATAATGCAATATGAAATGATATAATGATATAAAATAATAAATTATATATGTGCATAAATTAATTATTATGTGTGCATAATTCTTTATTCTAAATTTCTATAATTATCTACTTTTTTTTAGAAAGAACTGGTTTTTTTTATAAAAGAATGTAACAATATTTTTCGACAGGCGTATGACTTTTGAGGCTAGTTCTTGAAAAAGTAATTTTTAACGATTGTATCAGGGTTTTTTTTAAGCATAAGTAAAAATTAATAAGAATTATATTTTGACTATGTATATTTTTTTTTATTTTTTGCGCTTGAATTTCAGATTGATTTATTTGAATAAAATTATTTTAAAATAGGCAGGAAATGCATAATATTTCTATATAAGAGAAACGAGTCGCGATATTTTGTCTTGCTAAATCGAAAAAAAAAAAATTACAAACACCATGTGAAACCGAAACTTATGATACTATAAAATGCTATTTTTATGCTCAGGTATCAAGAACTCTTCATATCACAATGAAAACGGTTATTTGTGTGTGGAACGCGTGCCATATCATACGAAACTGGCGACGGCGTACTTAGAAGCTGGTAAAGAATTGGGATATGAAATTGTGGATTACAATGGCCAGGATCAGATAGGTTTTTCGTATCTTCAGGTAAATATGGATCATGGAACGCGATACAGCGCTGCTAAGGCTTATCTTCAGCTGAATCGGTCGAACTTGGAAATCATCACCGGTGCTAGAGTAGTCAAAGTATTGATCAATGCGGACAAACGTGCATACGGTGTTGAATATGTCAAATACAATGTGCGGAAGAAAGTCATTTGTTCGAAGGAAGTTTTACTATCCGCCGGTACGATTGATTCAGCCAAATTGCTAATGTTGTCAGGAATTGGACCTAGAGACCATCTGGAAGAATTAAACATTCCAGTGATTCAGGATTCCAAGGTCGGTTACAACATGTATGAACACGTCGGTTTTTTGGGGCTGACTTTCATGGTAAATCGAAGCGTGTCATTACTGCAGAACAAACTCCTAAATCCCAGCGTATTTTTGGAATACGTCCTGCATAAGGAAGGATTAATGACGATTCCAGGAGGTGCCGAAGCACTGGCATTCATCAGAACTAAGTACGCTCCTGACGAGAAACCGGATGTCGAGCTTCTCTTTGTATCTGGCTCTCTGCATTCGGACAATGGTAAAGTCGTGAGAAAGGCTTTAAGAATCTCAGACAATGTGTACAACACTGTCTTTAAGCCTATCGAAAATCAAGAGGCCTGGTCGATCTGGCCCATTATTCAATATCCTAGAAGCGTCGGTCGTGTTACGTTGAAATCGAAGAATCCGTTCGAACCACCCAATATGAATCCAAACTTTCTCAGTCATCCAGATGATATAGAAATCATCCTAGAGGGAATAAAACACAGTATCAACATAGCAAAGACTGAAGCCTTTCAAGCTTACGGCAGTCGATTACACGATATAAAAATACCAGGCTGTGAATCATTTAAATTTGCTTCTGATGATTATTGGCGTTGTGCAATTAAGCATCTACCATCCATGATGAATCATGAGATCGGAACCGTCAAAATGGGACCCCACACGGATGCTTACGCAGTTGTTGATCCACAACTAAGAGTATATGGTGTTAAGGGATTGAGAGTAGTAGACGCTGCGATTATGCCCACGATACCTTCTGGTCATGCGAATGCAGTCATTTATATGATCGGCGAGAAAGCCGCGGATATGATCAAAGAAACTTGGAAAAGCACATTATAAAAAAAAAAAACACGCTAAGTACATAAAAAATATTCCAACTACTGTGCAACAAAAAATTTGAAAAAATAAAAACAGATCAATACAACTAGTGCCAAGTATAGTCAATTATATGCTTAATTATTTATGAATTCTTTATAAATTTCAATAAATATTAGTTAAAGTTAAGTATCATTTATAAGATATTCTCTATCTCTCATCACAAATAAAAGAGTCATGAAAGTAACATGAGTTCAACCCAGTTATAACTAATGTTTCTAAGAAACATTTCTAGATTCCATTTAAAATCAAAAAGACGATGCTTATCTTTCTCTTGTTTTACTTTTCCGATGTCGTCTCTATTTCGCGCAAATGTGACGCAAGCGTGTTCCCATTTTCTGCTTCTTATATGTATTTTCTGAGATTTACATGCGAATTTGAAATGCGTCATTGAACAACATCCTACGTTTTTGCGATATCATCTTCGCATGGAGCGGTTTCTCGTAAATCTATATGTATATCAATTAAAAAAGTGTACGTGACAAGAAATATATATATATATATATTTATTTATTTATTTTCTATGTCCAAGAAAACTCCATTATGTGTATGTCTCAGCAATATATCGGCAACAAAAGTCGCCGTTTTTTAACGCGAAATCTCATTCCCGCTATACTTGAAGCGTCCATATCTGTAAGGTTTTGTCCGGATAAAACGTTACAACCCCCTTGGCCAAGACAAGACCAATAGAATCACGGTCTCGATGGCGCAGAATCCGCGAAATTCATCCCTCGATTGCCGCATCCAAGCCCGATTGGCCAAGGCCGAGTCCAATCGGGTTTCATCCGTTATTGATCTCGGTGGTGGAATTGTTGAGTTTTTTTATTGGCCGGAGTTGTAAAGTGTTTTATGGCCAACGTAAAACGACCCACCGCGTTATACGGATTACCGTGGTGAGTTATTAAAATTGCCCGGGATGCCTCGATGCGTCCGCGAATTAATGGACGCGACATCTCGAGACGATCGACTAAGATCGCCTGAATTACCCCGTTCACGGATATTATTCTTTCTGTCGCTAATCCAAAAAAAAAATGCGTCTTCTTGAAAAATATCCGGCGAGATCTTATATTTGACTCCTTGAAGAAAGAGATCGGTTAAATATTGCACTTCAGAATTAATCGCGTAGAAATCGCGCTTTCAAAGAATATTTGATCGTAAAATGTATGAAGGGATTTGAAAAAGCTTCGAGAAACTAGAACACATCTATCTACGTATTTCAATTTCAATACCAGTTATTCTTCGGAATATCGTTATATAATATCATCACATTCTCTCTTTCAATAATATTCTGAACAAAGTGTCACTAATATAAGTTCGTTGTAACTTCTTCACGAGATGATAGCGTATATGTTTGCGTACGATGATGGTTGCCATTGTAACGAAATGGTTTTATGTAAGGGTAGGAGCGGGGTGTTTCCCTTGAAATAACAGTTTACAGAAAAATTAGCGGCACTTCACTATGCAAACAAGCGTCAATCGTGTCCCCCCTCGTGAAACTAATAGCGCAAAGTTCCCTTTTATGTAGCAGTATAAAAAATCTGCGCAAACACTTCTATTGTTCATGGAAAATGATACAATCGTTTTTTTAACGGTCGCAAAGTGCAGATGTGAGTTCCCATACTTGAATAAATATCGTATCGCCATTTTGACGCGTTATTTCGGAATTAAATCATACACATAAATGAAATATTTTAAAACAAATCTTACATTTAATAAAAGTAGATTTTTAACAAATATACACTAAAATAAAATAACATTATTATATTACAGAGATATTACGTTCCGTAACTTTTTATAAATGTAAATTATTATTTCAGTTATTATACATATTTATATTTTTTTGCTAAAATATTACATCTAATAAATTTTATATTCAATTCTACGCAAAATTTTTTTGCCATTATTATAGGTAATTATTTATGCATCCTTCGATTAAATTTATGCGTAAAATCCCGGGAAGAAACTAAAAATCCCCGAAAACTACAATTTCGAAGATATACAGGGTGCATAAAAGTTTTCATTTGGATTCTCATGTTGATAAAACCGCTTACGTATCGCGTAAGCATAACGTATTCAATCGTGGATAGTGCGTATCGCGCGCACACCTACTGTGACAAATCAAAATATATTTCGTATTCGCGAAGATGGGGTCCGCGATTATCCTTTAATAGATTCTTTTGAGTATACACGCGCGTGTGCACGCGCATATCCCGGTTACGCGTGATTTATATAACGGGGGCGCACGATATGATTTAGGGGGCACGAGACATAGCCCGGACGAGAGCGTAATTCCACGAGCGATTTGCTTGATCGAATCGCCGCGTCGAGTATACGTATCGTATATATATCGATTCGATTGATTAAAAGCCCTGGGTCCGATTGAAAGTCATACACGCTCGATGGGGTTCATTGCCCTTCGTCGAACTTACTACTCTGTCGACCCCCGCCGCGAGCGACAAGTAATTTCATTCATATACGACTGGCATGATTTTTGTAAATGAGAACGGGATATCATTAGATGTATGTAATGATACAAATATAGATGTGCGATATATATGTGATATAGTATTATATACATATATTTATAAATTTATTAACTTTGAAATCAGGAGATGGTTTAAATCTCATCTGTAATCTCTCTTCTTCATTTATATTTGTATTTTTGAAAACAAAGTTCTAAATAATTAAAATTTATTATAATATATTTGTTTCTAGTCGATACTTTACTTTTAAAATCATAAATCAAGAGCAGATTTATAACATCGACGTTTAAAACATTAAAATCGGTACATATTTTTGTATAATATATACTTATTTTTAACGCATAAAATCGTATTCTCTTAAATTGAATCAGAAAAAATGTCACTGATTAAAGTGACACAAAATTTCATCAAAGATTAATGAGAGTATTTCACTGATCTTTAGTAAAAACACATTTAGTTCCTCCACTATATCTCACTGATTATGATAATAAGATTTTATTGAAAAATTAGTAATAATCGTACATATTTGCAAGATGTAGCTTTCAAAACTTTTCTTATTTATTTTATGTTAATATTTTTGGGAAAAGCTCCCATATGTAAAATGACACATGTATAACTAATATTTAAATTCAAATTTATATAAAATTATATTTTATTTTTTGTTCTTAAGATGTGATAAATTTATTAAAAGTAAACAATACTCTTGGTCAAATTTAGATTAATTTTTTTAACACATCATATTGCTATAAATTTATATCTCATATATAACATAATACAAAAAAATACATTTTAAAATATCATTAAACAGCCACTATCACACTAATTGATACTTTCAGTGAGATTTGCTATATTACTTGTAGTACTTGTAGTACTAATTTGCTATATTCTCTCCTCTTCTCTCTCATAACTGAAACCATCAGCAACTATTTAATAATAATATAAAACATCGATTTTATTTAAGAGAGTACTTTTTTTTTTCTTTTCGTATATTCTTTATAAATTTATTCCATCAACAGATTCATGCAAATGTGCATTCGATGATAGCGTCTCTAAATATAATTGATGTTTCTCGATGCCGTGCTTTTTTTTATTTTTTTGACATGCAAAGTTCTTCCGCGCATAATGCGCACTCGATGAGTCGGCTGTGTCGCGATGACGTCGCGAATTTTCTTAGAGATTATCGAACAGCTTTGTTCCAAATTGCAAGAACAAAGAGCTCGAACGATCCCCCCGCGCGAAAAGAGGAAGCCGCGCAATACTCTCTCGCGTCAAGGTTCGCCACGCAAAGAGTGAGAGAACAAAGGGAAATATATATTATGTGAAAAAAAGACCTACGCGCGGATGAGATGACATTTATAATCTTACGCGGGCGAGGACATAGATCAACGATGTTTTTGCTCGGCTGAGAGGGGATCTCCCTTGCGGAAAGATGCTGAATTCGAATTTAATTATTATTAATTGTTTCTCGTCGATGACTACAGGGGCGATGTTTCCGCATAATTGTTCTTACGACTTTTGCAAACAAAATTGACTAACAATGCTAGGAATTTTGTTGCTATTTGTGTATTATTATAAAATGCAAAGTTTAAAAATATTTCTAAAACCGTATAAAGAGTTATTAAGTATAGAGCTTAAGAAACTTAAATTATTACATTTAATAATTAAGATATGTAATTAAAATCTAGATTTCAAATCTTTCTCAACAACATAAATATATAGTTTGATCTTTTTCTGTACATTTATAATGTCAAAATATTTAAAATAAACCAGATGTTTGCATCTGTACAGTCTCAGAAAACTTGAAACCCTTGCATTTTAATTACAAAGGAAAGACACATTGTACGCGTAACACATTGAAATTGACGTGCCATTTAGTTTTTGAGTTCTTATTTCTAACTAAAAATTTAAAATTTAAAATATATTCATATTTTACTTAGGAAATGCTTCCTTTCTCTATCAAACTCCAAAGCAATTATCATAATATTATTTCCTTATCTTTTGAGTAAATGGACTTTTTTTGAGCGGACAAAATTTTAGATCTGGAGACAATTAGTCTGCAAAATCGACATATCTATTGGAAACTACAAAAGTGTGAATAAAAATATTTCAAAAAATATTACAATAAATGATTGTATAATATACAAATGTTTAAAATAAAAAATTACACTTTTTATTTATTTATATAAAAATAATCATAAAATATATATATTTTTATGAGAAATTTCTTTAAATGATAAAATATAGACTATAGATCAGCCAATTTATTAATATTCTTTGAATTAACATTTTAAAGTTAGATGATATTCATGTACAAATTTCACACACATAAAGTACCCTGCTCTTACCTTCCAAACTGCAAGAACTGTGAGAAAAGCAACGAAGATAAACGTAAAAACAAAACAGATGTAGAAATCTACGAGCATGTAGAATAAAGTAATACTATAAAAAAAGACATCATATCAACTCTTTGATAAAGTGCAACGCTTGATTATAGGAAATGTTGATTTAGGAGACTTATATCGATTTTTTTAAACGACATTATCAAGATTAATATCCATCTGCTGCAATCCAATATAATACGAGTGCACAAGGGTTAAATATAAGCAGCGCGATGCGAAAGCAGAACAAAATTAAGCCACCACTTAAGGGAAGAGTATCAAGCCACTTAAGCGGTAATCTGACGTGTACGGTGGATTCCTTGGTCCGAGACGATATCAGGGGTAGTATGTGTATTTTAGCCACGGTGGACCCTCGATTGGGCGTATCTAGCGTCGCTCGTGTAACTTCAGGGGGATAAGTAACTTTTGTCTAGGCCGACGCGTACAGATCTCTCAGCGGGAGGGTTGTCTGCGAAAGGACGCGAATGCATCGCGAGCACTCAGAATGGTCAGTTTATGTGGTTTCTCGAGATATTTATGGGGTGCGCGCGGCTAGCGAGTCTAGAGGGTAACTCCGAGGGCCATATATTGTACAAATTG